GAAGCATCAGAAGCAGATCCTCGGGTAGTAGTACAGTATTTTCTCCCTCTCCAATACCCACGGGGAGTATGAATTCAAATCGAAAATGGTGTATGATATTTCCTGCTTATATTCCAGCCATGAATAGGTGAGATGTAGAAAGAAATATCTAGACAATGAATTATTAGAAAGAATTTAATATGACCTAGCAGAATGAGCGATTCGATGCGGCCCAGCTTCAGCAAGCATAGAGTAAATCATCTGCTGAACTTGCGCCAACTGAGAATTGGCTGAAACGAATCACATGATATTGCACTGAAGGTCATGAGAGTGTCAAGTCTTTCCTGATTGGCGAATCTATATCTTGCAATGACGTTCTTGGTAGAACGGCTGGGCGAATGCCTCCACGCCTTAGACGTCTTCCTCGCACGTTCCTGAATTTGCCGGTGACGGTCAATGAGGTCACCCATTCTACCGGGTGTTGCACATAGATAGCCACCCGTCCACAGCCATAAATATAAGAGCTAGGAAAAAAATTCATATACCAAGAGAAAGAGCATTCATTTTCGAATCTAAACATGTACTTCTCGTAATTTGTGTGCACCCTGACTGTGTCTCTGACAGCTTTAAAACGAGCGAGGTAAGATGAAAAGAGGCGCTTAGAGTTCCGTGCCATCTTCCATGTCCTTCAACACTCCGGTGATGTCACTTTGCAAGGCTTCTCGGGAGAATCCATGCTGCTTGCCCTCTATATGCATGAGCCTCAACTCGATCTTTTAGGATAACCCCAATGCTTTCAGCCACATTCTGATCAAGAGAATTTCCCGGCTATTCCGCATTTCTAAAAAAAAAAAATAAATCCCTGAGTCTTTCAGCATTTGCTGTGTGATCAAAGCTTTGAAAATAAAGCTTTATCAGACAGAAGCTGAACGTTTAATCTATTTTGAAGCCCATGAACGGGTAACGAATTCAGCTCCGGTATCATGAGCTTGAAACGTAATGGCACGGATGCAATCAATGAATTTAAGTTCTGCACCATCATATGACATCAGAAAAAAAAACAAAATGGGATAAATAGGTTTAAAATTGAAAAGGATTCCAAATATATTAAAATTGTTTTCCTATCTCCTATAGTTAAGGCTGTGGAGGGGAGGGGGGTGTATTCAAGTATCAATACAACACGTGGTACACCCATTCCTTTCCTCTCGAGAATGGATAACCATAACTCCCCAAAGTACCCGCGCACTCGGCAAAGCTAACTCTAAATATCCTAGTGGTGGCCTCAAAGCATGCAAAACTCGAATGGAGTGATTCCAGTTTCTGTATCGCTCATTCCAAAAAAAAATTTGAATAGCTTTTTATCGTCTGACAAAAAAAGGGAGAAATTCTCCAGGAGGACACAACGGATCAGGAGACGTGGGCAATTGTAAAATAAAAGGCACGAGAAAAAACGAGTAATGTCGCGCTTTTGCCCATCTGGATTGACCAATATGTGGAGACCCTAAACCCCTTCATCTATAGAACCTAAGTATTGAGCATTTACGACCCATTAGCCAAGCCATCAGCACTCTCTTGATCAAACATCACCGTCCCTAGTGGCAAGGGCAAGTCCACTAAATGCCCTCATATTCATTTCCGTGAGATGATTTGAACTCCGCTGCAGTTTTGATAACTTTGTGTACGCCCTCTTCAGTTTGACGTCTGCTAAGAAATTTGCCACTACAGACACACTGGTTGATTACGGTCGTTCGTTATAGCAATACTAGTTTTTATATTATCCGAATTCAATGCGTTAACCTATGCAGCCAACCTCGCCTCCTTCTAATACCTTATCCAGAAGCCAATCAATGCTCCAGTTTTTTTTTAACTTCTATTTACTGGCAAAGAATGAAGCGAGCGTCAGCTAATTCCATACTTACGTAAACGAGTTTCAAATTTGCGCATGTAGTCCTCAACAGAAGAGAATGATCACGTTTTTTCCTCTTCCGCAAATGAGATAATAAAGAAACTCATTTTACAATTCCCTTTTATTTCAATGCCCTGCATTCATCGGTACCATTCGGCCACCATGCATATCAGCAATAAGATCTAATCTCAGCAGTGTTTGAAGATTGACTGAAGAATAACTTCGTTCTCTGAATGCTGACATTTCAACAACACAAAAGCCAACAAAAAAGAATAAATAAATCCAACTGGGAATAATGAATACAATTTTGAATGATAGCAGAACAAAAAACAAGCACATGCTCTGGGAATGGCAGTAGGCATCTAAGGATAGCAAAAAGTATAAAACAGTACATCCTCATGAATCTTGGCAGTACTACAAAATCACTCAACTGCACCTCTCTTAGAACTTAAACAATGACCTATCCTTAAGCTTTTAAAAATAAGGGTCATGCACAATAAATATATTAACTCCTATTTGAATGAATGAGATAGAAATCTTATAGAAATTATAGAAATAGAGAGCACTAAATCAGCATATACATTGCAAACCCTCAGGCATAAATAAATCATTCTCTCACCACTCCTGTGGAAAATGTGAAAATGCACTTAGACATTTTGCAACATTTCAAGAAAAATGGAAATTTGCAAACAGAACTTCATTTATTTTCCATCGAGTTCATCAAAACAGATAATTTCCTAAAGCATGCCACAGAGGCATAACATCTACTTTGTTCACCACAGATCTGAATTTTCCAGCATAATATTTAATATGGTAGAAGATACTGTATTTGCACAGGATGATTCTGCTTAAGATCATGGTTGCCAGTATCAAACATGATGCTCCAACCAAGGTTGACTTTTGGGGGATAAACATTTTCTGTGAGCAGACAAAGGCAAAAAAAATTCATATACAGATCTCAATGAAGATGTATATGGGATAGTAAATTCTCCAGTGATATTTTTTTGGAGCACAGGGCTCTTAGCTTCAAAAATTAGGTATCTTGACTCAGTCTCCATTCCAGTCTTGATTCTGAATACCTTTGCCTGTGACTATTCAAAACTCGAAATTATAGTATTTAATGCAGCAACTATCAAACTATCTTCATTTTGTGACATGCCAGTTTACAATTAGGATTAGGAGGGTTCAGCTGCTAGTTGAACCCTGGATGTGTCTGTGAGCTGGAAAGAGAGGCTTGCAAGCAGACTTTAAACCTTGCCCAGTAGCAGAGTTTTACAGAGAGTAGAGTCTTCATGTCTTGCCATGTGTAGCACCCAGGATGCCATCTACAAAACCTGTTTTAATAATCTAATCCAGGGATACTTAGGGAGTTACAATTTATGTCTATGGACAGACTAATTCAAGGAAAACATACACCATTGACACTAACTTCAGCACTAGGTTTATCAATATCAATCATTCTTCCATCCCTGCCCTGCAGGATATATTAGCAGATGTCAAGACTGAGATGAGCCCAAAGTGACACTCATTGTAAAGCTTAACCTGACTCAGAAGAAGTACCAGGCCATGAGGGAGCAACATAAAACCAAACCTCAGCTTAAGGAATGCAGACTGCAGATTATGCAGCACAGTCTGTGCCCTAACAAAAATTAACATGGCATCATTAGAATGTGAAAAGATTGTCAGAAACTGTCTGAGTTTTTGCCAGGTAATGAATGCATGAAACACATTAGGAAATGATATAATGGTTGCACCTAGGAACTTATCGAAAAATTTTATCCAGTATTCGGAAGTTTCTTTTTGTTTTTTCCCAGTGGATTAATTTATATTATTGTATTAATTAGTGTATTAAATTAAATTAAATTCGACTTACTTTAAGTCGAAAAATTAAATTAAGTTATGATTCTTTCCCAACCAAAAGTCATTGCTAAATCAAGTTTTGTGCTTGAAATGTGAATTGAGAAAAACTATTTAAAAACCCTATTGGAATGATGGAAATTCAAGAAATGAAGGACTAGGGAAGGGAGCAGGAGATGGAAGTCTAGCATTCACCCAAACACACATTCTCTCTTCTCCCTTGACCCAACAGCCAATACCAAAACAAGTGTACATTGAAAATTCATGATAAGGTCTGTTTTTGCAATGAACTTCATAAGACTTTACCTTGGATCTTACCTATTTTTGTCCATATAAGGAGATTAAGGCCATAACTTTTGAGTTACCATTTAAAAATTAAATTAAGGGACCAAAGTGACACACAGACATGCAGGTCAGGACATTAAATGATCTGATTCAATTTTGGAAAGGAGGGGTGGGGCAGTAATGAAAAGGAAAGCACTTTCTTTAAAATAAAATGAAAACTTGTTGGACAAACAAGGATTTCAGGTTTTACATGTATTCATCTCTTTCTAACTCTGAGCACTTTTATGATGAGAAACTGCCAAATTTGATGACCCTATGCCAGCATGCCATAAAATGTAAGGTACTGTAATATAGTATCTACTGCTACTATTACACAACCAGCTCATTTGCATATTCACATTGTAAAATAGTAAGCTTTGCTGAAGGATATTTTATGCACTAATAATGCTTTGAAGCAACATTCACTGGTTAATAGAATTTTGACAAAAAATCACACCTTTGAAAATATGAAGAGAACGGAAAGGGAAAGGCAAAAAAAGCATTGCAGTCATAATAGCAGAATCAACTCCAAACACTTTCACTTAAAACTACTCATGAGTAGTTCACAACAAAACTACTTCATGAGTACAAATATTGTACGCTTAATACTTGCCTTGATTTTGACTTTTGTGCTGATGCTTCCTTAAATGAGCCTTGCTTATTTCTAACAACTAAAATCTTTGGAAGACACTAGTCATTGACACCACAGCTTGGTTTTGTGAAAACAATTTGAAAAAAAAAGCAATATTTATGAGCATTGCCAGTTACCATCTGCAATATGACTAGGAGCCAGTAATGATGAGGTGAAAGGACATGGGATACCAGATTAAGGATAAGTAATAAAAAATAATCTCAAAGACCAGATCATAGCAAGATATGCAGCACCAATATAGACAAAAGAGTATTCAAGAGATCCAGAAATAGAATATAACTATCACATGTGAACTCGAAAAGATGACATGAAGTCAGGGGTCTTGGTAATGACATGGTCAAATTCAGCAAAGCTCAAAGCCCCATCCTCATCTAGATCAGCCTCTTCCAGAAGTTGACTCACTAACAATGCTCTATCTTCCTCTTTCAGCCGCATAGGTGAAGTCAGGCGATCAAGTATTGTAGTCAGGTCCCCAAATCCCAGAAGGTCATCCCCATCAAAATCTGCACAAAAAAACAATATAAATCATGAGAACTGCATTGGAAATGCAATGTCATGATCTTTTCGGTTTCCACATCCTATAGTTGCACTAGCAATCTGCTTGGGCATGAGAAGGTGAAGCTCAGCCAGAAAGAACTCACCAAATATCCTGAATGCATATTCAACTTTGACTGACTTTGGTGCAGCCTCACTGAACACAGACATCATGTCCAGAAAGTCCTCAAAGCTGATGTCCCCATCTTGTGATGAGCTGAAAACCTAAGATTAATACAAGAATATATATCCCTTCAAATACACATACCATCATCATGCAAGATCAGCACACATTTTTATNTCTGTGAGCTGGAAAGAGAGGCTTGCAAGCAGACTTTAAACCTTGCCCAGTAGCAGAGTTTTACAGAGAGTAGAGTCTTCATGTCTTGCCATGTGTAGCACCCAGGATGCCATCTACAAAACCTGTTTTAATAATCTAATCCAGGGATACTTAGGGAGTTACAATTTATGTCTATGGACAGACTAATTCAAGGAAAACATACACCATTGACACTAACTTCAGCACTAGGTTTATCAATATCAATCATTCTTCCATCCCTGCCCTGCAGGATATATTAGCAGATGTCAAGACTGAGATGAGCCCAAAGTGACACTCATTGTAAAGCTTAACCTGACTCAGAAGAAGTACCAGGCCATGAGGGAGCAACATAAAACCAAACCTCAGCTTAAGGAATGCAGACTGCAGATTATGCAGCACAGTCTGTGCCCTAACAAAAATGAACATGGCATCATTAGAATGTGAAAAGATTGTCAGAAACTGTCTGAGTTTTTACCAGGTAATGAATGCATGAAACACATTAGGAAATGATATAATGGTTGCACCTTCCTTGAATAGCTTTTTAAAATAGGTCATAAGCCTTCAAAGAAAAACAAAAAAGGGTCACCTAATTAAATATAATAACATAATTAATCACATAATTTAATTTAATTTAAGCTGAATGAAATTCAGCTTAAATTATTGCACAAAATTGGCACAGAAAAACTATTTATAAACCCTATTGGAATGATGGAAATTCAAGAAATGAAGGACTAGGGAAGGGAGCAGGAGATGGAAGTCTAGCATTCACCCAAACACACATTCTCTCTTCTCCCTTGACCCAACAGCCAATGCCAAAACAAGTGTGCATTGAAAATTCATGATAAGGTCTGTTTTTGCTATGAACTTCATAAGACTTTACCTTGGATCTTACCTATTTTTGTCCATATAAGGAGATTAAGGCCATAACTTTTGAGTTACCATTTAAAAATTAAATGAAGGGACCCCAAAGTGACACACAGACATGCAGGACAGGACATTAAATGATCTGATTCAATTTTGGAAAGGAGGGGTGGGGCAGTAATGAAAAGGAAAGCACTTTCTTTAAAATGAAATGAAAACTTGTTGGACAAACAAGGATTTCAGGTTTTACATGTATTCATCTCTTTCTAACTCTGAGCACTTTTATGTTGAGAAAAGGCCAAATTTGATGACCCTATGCCAGCATGCCATAAAATGTAAGGTACTGTAATATGGTATCTACTGCTACTATTACACAACCAGCTCATTTGCATATTCACATTGTAAAATAGCAAGCTTTGCTGAAGGATATTTTATGCACTAATAACAGGTTGAGATTTTATGCTTTGAAGCAACATTCACTGGTTAATAGAATTTTGACAAAAAATCACACCTTTGAAAATATGAAGAGAACGGAAAGGGGAAGGCAAAAAAAGCATTGCAGTCATAATAGCAGAATCAACTCCAAACACTTTCACTTAAAACTACTCAGAAGATCCACGAGTACAAATATTGTACGCTTAATACTTGCCTTGATTTTGACCTTTGTGCTGATGCTTCCTTAAATGAGCCTTGCTTATTTTCTAACAACTAAAATCTTTGGAAGACACTAGTCATTGACACCACAGCTTGGTTTTGTGAAAACAATTTGAAAAAAAAGAGCAATATTTATGAGCATTGCCAGTTACCATCTGCAATATGACTAGGAGCCAGTAATGATGAGGTGAAAGGACATGGGATACCAGATTAAGGATAAGTAATAAAAAATAATCTCAAAGACCAGATCATAGCAAGATATGCAGCACCAATATAGACAAAAGAGTATTCAAGAGATCCAGAAATAGAATATAACTATCACATGTGAACTCGAAAAGATGACATGAAGTCAGGGGTCTTGGTAATGACATGGTCAAATTCAGCAAAGCTCAAAGCCCCATCCTCATCTAGATCAGCCTCTTCCAGAAGTTGACTCACTAACAATGCTCTATCTTCCTCTTTCAGCCGCATAGGTGAAGTCAGGCGATCAAGTATTGTAGTCAGGTCCCCAAATCCCAGAAGGTCATCCCCATCAAAATCTGCACAAAAAAAACAATATAAATCATGAGAACTGCATTGGGAAATGCAATGTCATGATCTTTTCGGTTTCCACATCCTATAGTTGCACTAGCAATCTGCCTGGGCATGAGAAGGTGAAGCTCAGCCAGAAAGAACTCACCAAATATCCTGAATGCATATTCAACTTTGACTGACTTTGGTGCAGCCTCACTGAACACAGACATCATGTCCAGAAAGTCCTCAAAGCTGATGTCCCCATCTTGTGATGAGCTGAAAACCTAAGATTAATACAAGAATATATATCCCTTCAAATACACATACCATCATCATGCAAGATCAGCACACATTTTTATAAATGTTGTACTTTCATCAAGGGAAGAAAAAATATATTTATGAACAAGATCCTTGGCAAAAGATTCAAAATTAACAAGAACCTTAAGAGCAAAAAAAAAAAACAGGGATACAACCTTCTAAGGCAGGGGTCGGGAACCTTTTTGGCCATGTGAGCCATATTAAGATTGAGGTAAGTGCTTGTGAGCGAAAGATTTTCGGAACAACCAAATTTTTCCTGAAGTTACCAACAGACATGCACATCCTTAGATACATTAGAAAAATTAGAAAGAACCATAATTTTTAGCCCTGGCTCAATGAGCCAAACTTTTTGGCTTGTGAGCCATAGGTTCCTTACCCCTGATCTAAGGTAATGATAGCATGACTAGTTCTCTAGTTCATGGCCACTGAGAGCAAACAATATTGCAAAGTGGTTGAGGGAGAACATGTAAATGTGCATATTATGGATCAGCAATGAAAATACTAATTTGAAGTGGGACATAAATGTCCCACTTCAAAGGAAAAAGGACAAAGAAAGGCACTTATTAGCATTGTCTTTGGACAGATTGAACAATAACTTGAAATGTTTGCATAGACTACCTGACATATTCTGTCAGCAAAAGGGTTGACACGAAGCAAAGGTAGGGCTGCAACAGACACCATGGGAAGGGGATTTCGCTTGCTCTGCTTCACTGCCTCTGGATCCAGGGCCCGGAACTTCTTGTATGCACTGGAACACAAAGCAAATGCATTTTACCACTACTGTGTGTCTGCCAGCAATGAACATGATTATTCCTTTTCATTTCAGCTTTTCAACAGGCCAAGATTGATTTTTTTTTAGCTTTCAATGAGTACATCCATTCTTTGCATTTTTGGATTAAAAGTACTCTACTATATCTGCACTACACTTCCAAAAGAAAAACACCATGCCATCCAGACATCAGGACCTTTTACTGAAATTGGTTCAGTTTGCTCATATATTGTTTGTGCATGTTCAGGAAATCTTTCCAATATACAATACTCTCAGAGATACATCAGGACATGAGACATATCAAAAGTTTACCAAAGATTTGTGCCAAGTTTGTTGGTATCTCATATGTATAAAAACAGGTTCAATAGCTTTTCTCCATGTCAAGCTGTAGATTCAGTCACCAGGAGAAGATCACCATTACCATGAGTCATAGGAAGCAATGAATAAAACTGGACAGACCCAGGAAAGACCATGAAGAGATATAAAAATGTTTAAGCTAATGGAAAAATGAATTAAGTGGGTGGAAAATTGTTCAGTATAAATTTTCATTCTGTACTTTGATTCTTAAATGAAGTCCTATCATGACTTGAAAATTAGTTCATGCCATGGGAGAGTAAGGAAATGTGCAGAAACACACTCACTGAAAGATCTCCTTCTTTGTCAGGTATGTCAGGTTCTGGAAAATGGGAAACCTTTTATTACATCAAATGGAATCTATGCTTGGATGAAGCTACTCAACTATTTCACCCAACTCTCATTTTTGGAAAAGAGGGTGTTCCAAAATAAATATTCTTGGAATTTTATTTTACATATGAAGGGAAACTTATTACCACTCTTTCATGGAACCACATCATCAATAAAAGGCAATGACATAAGAATACACTCAGTGAAAGTAAAAGAAAATACATTTGAGGCCTTCCTAATCAAATTATCAATTTTTTTCCTAAATGAGAACTATTCTATGTTTCCAATATTATACATCTGCCAGGTAATTTGTTCAGTGTCATTGAGAGCCATTCATATTATACCTATTTATCCTTGCTTCCAGATGGTGCTGACACAGTGAGATGCTCTGAAATTACATCTTTCTTAGCAAGGTACCTAGCACAAAAATGACTTTCCTGCATCCTATTGGACAGCCAAGAATTTGCCAAAGCAAAGAAAGAAAAAGAAACTTTGATTTAAATATTTATTAAATCAACTGTGGTAGTGTCACTGTGTTGACAATCCATTGAAGCAAGGATTAACCCTCATCTGGGCAAGGTATTATTATGACACAAACAGGCAAGGGCAAACATTTATACAAATTTTTTCCTTAATAGCAAATCTTGGGTGGGTTCTTGTACTCCCTTTTAGCTGCTAACAGGCATTTAGTCCTATGCTGGCAATGGACCTAAAAGGTCTTTTAGGGCTAAAAGGGAGTACAATAACTCACCCCATAACTTTTGAAATCCATTTTTGGATCTATGGACAACTATCCACAAAATACACTAAATTCGCAAATAATTTTGATAATATTGTCATTGAGTAATGCAATGAAATTACCCTGGGGAGTCCAATGGACTCCTGTTGTCTAGACAAGGATTAAAAGGCATAATATTACTTGCCCTCTCAATGATACCTTGTAAATGTAAATCATTTAAACCTGGTGATGCTATTTGAGTTTTTTGATGAAAAACTCATAACTTTACAAGGAAAGCCTCATGTAAATTATATTAAATATTCAGCAAATGTGCCTCCCATGTTTTAGCTATATATTGGTAGTTCAGTTACATGAAAGAGTGCTAAATGTCTCAACTTTCAAGTTAACCTCAAATTGGGCTTACTTTTGAAACATTCATTGGTTGGGAGTGGCTTGAACTGAACTGAATATCATTTAGGTTCATCACTAGATATTGGTGCCTATTATCCATACTAGAAATATCTGATATTATACAACTACACTTGTCCAATAATGAATTCCCAATCACACTTGTGGGCTACATATTGGACATTTGCTTTTCAAGTGGGAAGATTTTACTTGATACCTTACATATCTTTGAAACATTAGATAATATGTGGTGGGTGATAACCCTAGGCCACAGGGCTGGATTTAGAAGTTGCAAGGCCTGGGGCAAGTGAATTCTTGGGGCTCCCCTCCGCTACTTTACGCAAATACAATACTTTTTTTAACTTAACGTTTTTAATTTCCTTCAGAGGCCCCCTGGAAGAGTAGAGCCCAGGGCAACTGCCCCCTTTGCCCCCCCCCCCCTTAATCCAGCCCTGCTAGGCCATCCTGAATCAAAAAAGTTTATTCATTTGAGTTCAATGCATTTCATCTTGAGTTAGTTTCACATATATCTTCCTTATGACAATGGACCTAAAAGGTCTTTTAGGGCTAAAAGGGAGTACAATAACTCACCCCATAACTTTTGAAATCCATTTTTGGATCTATGGACAACTATCCACAAAATACACTAAATTCGCAAATAATTTTGAAAATATTGTCATCGAGTAATGCAATGAAATTACCCTGGGGAGTCCAATGGACTCCTGTTGTCTAGACAAGGGTTAAAAGGCATAATATTACTTGCCCTCTCAATGATACCTTGTACATGTAAATCATTTAAACCTGGTAATGCTATTTGAGTTTTCTGATGAAAAATTCATAACTTTACAAGGAAAGCCTCATGTAAGTTATATTAAATATTCAGCAAATGTGCCTCCCATGTCTTAGCTATATATTGGTAGTTCAGTTACATGAAAGAGTGCTAAATGTCCAACTTTCAAGTTAACCTCAAATTGGGCTTACTTTTGAAACATCCATTGGTTGGGAGTGGCTTGAACTGAACTGAATATCATTTAGGTTCATCACTAGTTATTGGTGCCTATTATCCATACTAGAAATATCTGATATTATACAACTACACTTGTTCAATAATGAATTCCCAATCACACTTGTGAGCTACATATTGGACATTTGCTTTTCTAATGGGAAGATATTACTTGATACCTTACATATCTCTGAAACATTAGATAATATGTGGTGGGTGATAACCCTAGGCCACAGGGCTGGATTTAGAAGTTGCAAGGCCTGGGGCAAGTGAATTCTTGGGGCTCCCCTCCGCTACTTTATGCAAATACAATACTTTTTTTAACTTAACGTTTTTAATTTCCTTCAGAGGCCCCCTGGAAGAGTGGAGCCCAGGGCAACTGCCCCCTTTGCCCCCCCCCCCCCCTTAATCCAGCCCTGCTAGGCCATCCTGAATCAAAAAAGTTTATTCATTTGAGTTCAATGCATTTCATCTTGAGTTAGTTTCACATATATCTTCCTTATGGTCAAGTCATCCTACTCTCAACAAGTAGAAAAGATGACACTTTTTGCAACTGCAGAATGTAAAAAAGGCCTAGTAAGTTTAGCAAAGTTTTACATATGTAACAACTGCAGGATACAACTGAAGGTTGAGTGGTAATAGGCACTGTCTTATGAAGGAAACATTTCTTGTTAAAGGTGTCAATTGTGGCACTGTACATGGTGGAGATTGCCTTAGTCTTCTGCGCTTATATGTCAGAAATGTCATGCACAGGCAGAAGAGTCAACCTAATAAATAGGCAAACTTATGCAAAAAATTAGTTTCTCTGCTTTTTATTGTTTCCTATAACAAACAATAGGAGAACTTAAGTCTCACCTGATAGTCTTCCAGCTCATCTTCAGTGAATTCCTTTCCCTGTGAAAGCCCCATGATGCCCAACTTGACTCAAGGGAGATTTCAACAATGGCACACACTGGAATGACCAATGAATGAAACCTGTAATGATATATGGAATGACTGAAGCACTGTGTTTTTTCACTAGAGACACTCAATAATGGGATGCACTCCAAGCATGAGTCCAAATTTTGAAAAAAAAAGTCTGACTTTGTGAAAAACAATATATGGAGAAAGGTATTGATTACACTGAATCCCAGGCAAATTTGGGGCTTCTATGACCTCATGGTAGCATGAATATACTGAGAATAGAGGACATGTGTGTGTGGTCTAATGAATCTGAGCAAGACTCAAGTGTCATACTTAGGAACATGGAGGGCTTTGCAGCTGTAGGTGACCCTTTGTGAGGGTGGTTTCAGTTTTCACTGTGCTGAAGTGAAAAGTTTTTGTGTGGCCCCTGCATGTGATGTTTTAGACAGCATTTCAACTAATGCATCATGGTTTGGCTGGTTGGCTAGCCTACGCTAGCATGGGAGGATTGTTCATTGTGGTCATGTTAGGCAGATCGACCTCTGTAGACTGTAGGCATAGGCCTAATCGGGATGTTGCAAGGGAAAACTGGGGCATTTTAAAGATAATGCCAAAATGCCGGCCTTTGCAATGAGGAAAAACCGGGACACCAGAATGGAAAGGAAAATTCAAATCGGGATATGGCCTGAAAACCCGGAACTGTCCCGGAAACCGGAACCGTATGGTCACCCTACCCAAGGCCACAGCGGGCTTTCGCGCTGAGTCGTTACAGTTTAAGAACACAGCATCCAGGAAACCACTCCCTTCCAAAGATCCGGAAAACGCAGAGATAAAGGCAGTAATACAAGAGGACAATATTAAACATGCTGATATTCCTCCCGATCAGTACTTTGCCCTACAGGGTGCAAAGGGACTTTGTGGCCACCCTATAGAGTTCCAACGTTACTTAACCTCAAGGATTCCCTCTTCGAAGGAGATGCGGAGGCAAAGGATAAAAAAATTTTCATGTTGGGGACAAAAGAAGGAATGTCTATTGGCTGAGTGGCTCGGCCCTACGTCACGGCGGAAGTGGGAATCACGTGCCTAAAGACTAGAATCAAATGCGACTACATTCTCTAATCACAGTGATAGAATCGACCTCAAATGGCACTAGACCTAATTCCGTTGAAATAGGCGTACGCCTTCCATGTACCTTTCATACTTGGGTGACCAGATTTTTTCAGGAAAAACCGGGGACTGTCCCGGTAAAACCGGAACGTCTAGTCATCCTATTTTACACCTATGATTAGTATTTCCTCTAAACATGGAGGAAAAATATATATATTTCGTTTGTATCCTGCGATAGATATCAATACCAGAGAAAAACTTAATAATCCCCTAAAAACCTCAGCAAAAACACATCATGTTTGAGGGCGACAGCCGAAAGTGTCGAATCTCAGCGACCACATAAGGTTTTTAACTGAACTTGGCCTGTAGAGACGCTTCTGCCCTAATCGATATCCCGAATAGCAACCGAGCGCTTCTATCCTCCCATTCCCAAATAGAACTACTTCTTAAATTTTACATTTCTTGAGCTTGCTTGATTTGATTTTTAGCTGAAAAGAAAACGTAAATCATCCTAATAAACCGCATGTTACCATGGGCCAGGACACAACCGGTTGATGACTGCTTGCATAGACAATAATAAGCAAAAAGTTATGGCAAACACATGTTCCTTATAGGCGAATGCTCGTGTAGAAAGCGCTGAATCTCAATCAGCAGAATGTAACAACACCAGAAACTGTAACATAATCGAGAAAATGTGCTTTTTCCAATGAAAGAAGAAGCGAATATTTTCAAATATGATTAGTGAAGCGGTTTGCTGCATATTTTTTGGGAATAATTTTAAAATTCACGAATTTTCCTGCATAGAACCTATTCATGAGGATCTTTACTGCAAGCATCAATCAAAAGAATGCCTTCCAAATGTCTAAACCTGGAGCACAGACAAGGCGTAAGATTTAAGAGAGGATTCATCTTTCATAGGCTTAAACCAATCTTAAACCTTAAGCAATAGTTAAAACGCAGTCACGAACATCAAATACAGAGGCTACTGAAAAATTTTCACTCCAGCATGTCATGAACCTCTCAATCTCTTTAGCCTGACCAACTTAAAATGGTTAAAATTGATCCCCTCTTAAAAAAAAGACCCTACAAATCCTTCTACTAGAGGCCTATCGCTCCCCTCCCTGTCTTTAGCAAAATTCTTGAAAAATACATATATGCATCTATACAACTACTTTAAATTCACCTCTCTCCTGTCCCCATTCCAATCATGCTTCCGCCATCTCCACTCCTGTTCCATTGCAGTGTCAAGGCTGAAGATAGCTTGCTCATTAATCTTGACCATGTAAAAATGGCTGATGCTACGTTCATTGACTTCTCCAAGGCCTTTGATAAATAAACCATATCATACTTCGTCACAAGCACTCAACCAACTTCTTCTGTCACCCTAGTAATCTAATTCCGTAGTAATTCACCCCCGTGGTGTTATCTTTCTCTCCTCATATTTCCCCTCAGAAACCAATGTATTGCACCCTCACCCTATTTATACCAATCCATGCCATCGGTGCCCCCAAGTTTCCATCTTAAGACCACTCTTATTTGCGGCCTACAGGGTCGCTAAAAAAAAAACCCCAAGCTATCGACTTCAACGTGCTGTAAATCAGGCTGCAGTGTCTTGATTTGAGTAAACCTTTAGGCCCACATGAAACAACTCTTTTGCAGCCGATATCATTCGGCCGATTTGCCGATTCAGCCGATATCTACCATTCTCTGATCATGCTAGGATGCAGCTGAGGGAGAGGTTCTCCAAACATAAACATCTAATCAACTCTTTGCATAAGGTGATCCCAAAATTTTGCATATGTTGCGAGCTTTCAGATCTGAAGGAATTAATTGAATTGTATGCTGCACTTCTGCCTGAACCAAAAGTATTCTCAGCCGAGTTTATGATTTGGAAAGCCAAGTGGTCAAAGATAACGGAAGCCAGCAGACCAGGATCAGCTCTGGAAGCTTGTGGCGGGTGTGGTTCAGAGTTTTATCCTAACATAAACAAACTTCTCGAGATACTAGTAACACTGCCAATTTTCACTTCTACGGCCGAAAGGTCATTTTCAACCTTAAAGCGCCTCAAAACCTACCTGAGGAATTTCACAGGAGAGAACCGCCTAACAGGACTTGCACTGCTGAACGTTAACAGAACCATTCCTGTTGACCCTGGTGAAGCTGTCAGGAGGTTCTTAAGGCGAACCTCCTGACAACTTCACCAGAGTGAACTTCACCTCGGCGGGAAAATTTCGTACTGGAAAGACACAAAGAATATTGCTTCTTTTTTTTTACTACATTCCTGATCTAACCAAATCTGGGATTTTTCCTTTCACTCCTTCAGTCTTGAGGAGTTCCACATTTCCTGACTTCTACGATTTTTAGTATAGGTTTATAATGTATTTTTGGTTGGCAGTGATCTTCAGCATTAAAAATACGGAAGATTGTGCAATACTTGGTCTTTTCTATCTTTAATAGCTTATGACTTATTAAACACTGCAACTTACAGGAAAATTCAGTTATGTCACGAAGACTCATTATGACAAGTATTAAAAAAATAGCCACAGCGCGTAGGCCAGACCTCATGCCCCCCCCCCCAAATGAAATCCTAGCTCATCCATCTAATGGCTCAGCTGTCAACTCCTACAACTGCTCTTTTAACTTCTCTGTCCTCTCTCACCAGAAGAGGTCTTTCAACCCTTATGGTGTCTCTAACAAGGAGCATTGAATCAGGTTCTCATAAGCTGCTTACGTACAATTACGTACAAATTACAGACCTATAAGACCCTCCACATCCTCAACCTCTTTCACCTTCTTTCTCAAGATCACGAAACTAGGTCTAAATGCGATTGGAAACTCCAAAACCCTGCTGTCCACCTCAAGAGGACTACCACGACATTCTAGAGTAGAGCCTTTCACAGATAGAACTCCTTTCCTAAACCAATACTGGATGCCTCCATCCTGGCTTCCTTCAGTAAACTTGTCCACAGGCAATTCAAAACCAAATTGAAACATTACTTGTCCTTCCCTACCCATCTTGATCTGAGCCAACTCCTCAATTACATAGATGCATACCTACTGTATATAATTAAATACATATGTATAGATAAATGTAAGTGCTCAACTTTATTTTTCCCATTTCTCTTTCACTTTCTCCCATTACTTTTTCCTATTTCTTATTATTTATTTTTCCATATTTTACTTGTGTACTGTGTGTGATTTCTCTATGCCTGAATGCACTGCCCTCCTGTCCTGAAAAAGTGCATTGAATTGAGTTAAGGTAGGATTTTCCTCACATTGAATAGCTTTCAAGTTTGATCTTGAAACCCGAAAGACTGATTATTTCATATTTCTCAAGTCCACGAAAAATTAGATTCGTAGAACGCACTTCCTCAAATATGCAAAAAAGTCAGATAAGTTTGACATGAAGGAAAATAGAAATTACTAAGCTGATAGAGGACATGAGATGACGAATCCTTGGAGCTATTGTCATTTTAGAGATCCTTTAAAAAATTAATGAAAAGGCAGTCGTGCATTCACTGCTGGGGATATGTCACTGTTGCATACACACTAGCACAGCGCCATATCTCTGGGACATTTAAAAAAGTACTATTTGATGCAGCTTAGAAAGTAGGATCATATGAGAAAGAATCGAAAGCTTTAAGTGAAGGAGGTGTTCATATGAATATAATCCTTCATAGCTTTCCTGATCCTCTCAAAAATATTGGGTTGGAAAGAAAGTCTTGCAACACTTTCTAAAACTATTTCTAAAAATTTTCAAAGGAATGATGGGCGGGGCTTTG